TCATCACAAAAGCTATAAAGAAACAATTTGATTCAACTTATGCGTTCCTTTCTAATAGAGATTGCATGCATTGTCAGATCTTTTATTTTTTTCACTGATGATACAATGTTTTGTTAGTAAATCATAATATTTAAACTAGTTTGCTATTATCTGATTTCCTTGCTAATGCTGCTTTGTAGCTATACACCAGGAAAAATTGATTAACTAGTCATCCAAGATATTACATGTTGAAGTAACAGTAGAAATTTAATATTTACCATTGTAAAGGAGTATATATATCGTTCTTTCTGTATGTGTTGTGGGGTTATCTGGGCTCGCAAAATTCGGCCCCAGCCTTCTCTGCTACTTTATTCGAGGAAGTTTTAACATATTAAGTTCCGGGGTAAATTTTGGGAAGGCAGATGGGTTTGTAGATAAGACACTACCCAAAGATTTCGCCCTCATTTTACGAGGACTTTATGATCTGAGTTCTGTTTTCCTATAGGCACAAGCCCCTATAGTTAATTACTCTTCTCGATAACGAGAGAGAACTTTCAATTAAGGCTAGTCGTCAATCAGATACGTAGATATACATAGCATTTGGCATATAGTAGCAGCATGGGCATGGTGTTTGGAAAGGTATTGGGAGAATTGATGCGAACTACTACGTGGCTTTGAAGCTGCGCCAAACTGCAGAGGTATGGGTACTGTAGGCACGGCTTCGACAGCGATATGGCAGGATTTGCGTATGGGCATGACAGAGGTATGTAAAAACAATTCTATTTCTTTTGTTTTCTGGTATGGAAGTCAACAGGCTATTAGATACCCAAGGTTGGCAAAAAAAGTTCTCCCTTTATTTCATTTGCATCTCCTTCAAGCATGAATTTCCTGTAGCTTGCCACCCGGATGCCATAATCCTTGGAAACATAGGTGTGAGTAGGGTTTAGCAGGAAGCAACATTCGTTAAGTGGGAAACAATTAGACATAGTAGTGGGAAACAATAGAAGTCGACAACAAGAGTAGCAGAAAATAAAGGTAGGCAGCAAGAGGCATCAGAAATAGGAGGAATAATAGAAATCGACTACAGGAGGCAGAAGGAAACAGGATAGCATAACAACAAAAGTGAGCAAACTGTTATCAAAGTAGATATGGTAATTAGAAACAGAGAGAAATTTATTTTTTATCAATTTCTTATCAAACTTAATAACTTTTGAACTCAAAATGTGCTAGACTTTGAATTCAATTGGATGAGTTGAAACATTACAACAGTGATTCAATTCCAATAAGATGATGACAATAACAAATAATACATTTCCATTCTTATAAGAACCATCACTATAGTCATGAATTATACAAGAAAAATTAAAGAAAATTTATATCATAGGACTGTTGGACTTAAAAATTTGGATGTAATGAATTTAATATTTGATATTTGTCAAGGTAGTCTAAGCAAAATTATTGCGCTTCTTATGAGTAGGTTTATGATGTCAATATATAAGATAAGATATATCTCACATAATCATCCAATTGATGTTACCGTGGATAGATATTGAAGAATTTGTGGTTTGTTTTTGGCTCAAGTTGGAGAAATATTTTTCTATGATTCTAAACCAATTAATACAGTATCAAGAAAGTGTTTGATAGTTTCTTAGTTTAGGGTATTGATTGTTGTTGCCATTATTTCCAATTATTTTTTTTTTCTTTATTGTGTATAAATAGTAATTTGTCAAAAAATTTGGTACTCTTTTGCATTAATAGTATTCAAAACAAGAGAGCCAGTGAGTTTTTGTCCTACATCGCTTGATTATTGTGAATATTGAATCTTGAAATTTGGTCGAAGCCACATTAGAGTCCGACTTCGTTTGTGATTGTTTTTTTGTTGTTTTTTAAAGCAGTTTTTTAGTATAACAATTTTTTTTAAATTAAAAAATTTTGTACTAAAAAGTTATTTTAAAAAACAACAAAAAAAATTATTTCAAATGAAACCTCCGTGTATTTTTAACATTTTTGTGTGGTGTTTGATCATATGTGATCTTTGTTGCTTGATCAAACTCAACATAGTGTTAGATGTTTTAAATAAATATTATTATATGATTTTGATATTTTATGGATGAGTTGATTTAGTTATATTTATCACCTCAGTCTATCTTATTATACTAACCCTTGAACAGCATTGAAAAAGTTTAGAATTCATTTTGTTATACTGCCAAAATAAATACTCCTAAAATTTTTTTGAATGAGTAACAACTCTCTTAATCAAGAGAAATTATTAGGTGCGGAGTCCTGACGTAGAGATATGTCTGGACATCTATTTAAAATGTGACACATGGAGTATGAGGTACGCTTTGGTTGCATTTTTTGTGGCTCTTACATGCGTTTTAGTTTGCACTTTAAATGGCCAAATTTATGAGGAGCGGACTTAATGATCAAAATTAGTAGAAAGAGCATAAAAAAAAATTTTTAATTACAAGCAAATACGCCATTAATGGGCGCATGTAAGAATAGCCATTTAATTTGGCGTATTCTCCTTATCAAATAAGAGCGATAAAAGGGGGAGAGAGAAATGGAGAGGAGAGGAAAAAAGATATGACACTGGGGAGAGAGAAGGAGAGGGGAGAGGGGATATGGGCAGCAAGAAAAAGAGGGGAGAGAGAGTAGAGAGAGATTTAAATATATTATTTAATTATTTATTATAATTTATAATAGTTTATAATAATTAATTATTTAATATAATTATTTAATTAATTATATAAATTTATAGTATATTTACTTTAAAAATGAAAACTGAACATTTATAAGTTATTATAGAGTTAATAAATAATAAATATAAGTTTTTATTTATTTATAGTTATATATAAATTATTATAAATAAATAATTTAAATTAAATTTTTGTTAGGTTAATTATTAAATTATATGTAGTTATAATATAAATTTTTAGTTATAGATAATTATTTATAAATAAATAATTAAAATAAATTTTGTTAGTTAATTATTAAATTATATGTAGTTAATATTAAAATTTTTAGTTATATTAAATAATTTTTTTTTATAAATATTATAATTTTAATTAAAACCTATAGTTTTATATATTTAAGTTAAAATTATCTAAATATATGTATTATAATAATAAATATAA